ACAGTATTCTTGAAATTAACTTTTAGATGTACTTTTTGTTCACCATAATTGTACTAGCATAATGTCATAATGTCTACAAGAGTATAATTAAAATATACTCGACTCTATCACAATACTAACCTTACAAGTATACTATTAATTAATAGTATTAATAATGTTTCACATTGTTTGAATAAACAAACTGAATGGTTCCATTCAGTTCAAGGAATTAAATTTTAGTGTGGCTGCAACTTACTCCTTAAGTTGAAAATTATGCTGTATATTGTAGTTTATATGTTATACTACTTTCACAGTGAATTGCATTTTATAGTAATACACTCTGAATGAGGATTTAAGTAATTACTCTCAGATCTACAGTAGAAAAAAAACAGAAATCCGGATGGTGTAATAGTATAATCTCAGTAACATCGCCAATTGTTACATTTGCTGTATTTTACAGCTGTTTCCATGAGTACGGTGAGTTACTGTAAAAATAATGTAATCTCATGGAATTTTCCCACAATTACATGCAAATTACAGTACTACACTGCTAACATCCTATGGAAATTACTGCAAAGGCTAACAGTGTAGCACCCTCAAGGATTGACGTACGCACGATGTAGTTATAAAACAGGGTTTATTCTGGTCTTGGCAACCCCTGAGAACTGCTACAATAAACAAAACATAACATTAAAATGCGCTCTTGTACTTAGTGCCAATCAATCAAAAGTCCTTAATTACATAAAATAAAACATTTAAAACACACAAACCTCGTGAGCTGACATCCAGGAGGTGCTAAATAGTCCTTTATGGCCTTATTGCCTTATCCTCCATCTTCTTTCTCAATTATTTCTACTCTTTGAACGATATTTTCTCCATGTGTGAAGCTAACTGTGAGCTGCAGCATGCAGACACCATGTGCGCTAGCAAAAAAGGAGACTGGGAGTAGACCAAGCTGTACCCTACACAATTCACCACCAGAGGGCGCAAAGAACAAAATCCAGACATACAACTTACAATTAATATTCTCTATTTTTGGTGGTTCTCATGGTTGAGTCTCTTGTATTTGTAGCTCCCTAGGTTAGCTTTTGTATTTTGTGATTTCTAAGCTTTAGTTTTTGTTACTGTGCCTCCTCTGAATTCCTTGTCTTATGTCTGGTTACCCTGGTTTCTATGTTCGCTTATTTCCTGTTTAACTTTGACAGTCTTGTGTTAGTGGCTGTATCACAATTCAGGGTCTGCAGCCTTAAAG